ATGGGTTTTCATGTTTTTGAATCATCGCTCCGGCCGGACAGGGCATCATCACAATATGGTAAGGGGTGTAACAGTTCCATCACACGCTTGAGGTATTCGGCCAATCATAACGCACTGGATAGCTGGCCAATCAGAGCACACCTCGCTTTTTCAGACCGATGAGCTTTGTAAAAATCGGCGCGTTCCAGAAAGGCGGGGCATAGAGGAGAAACAATAATGTACAGTATGTGGAAAATAATGTGTTTTTTGAACCTTAAACCGTATTAACACATTTCATTACACCAAATACACAAAATAATGTTCTTTTTATCAGCATCATATGACCCCTTTAAAGAGGTCATGAACTGCCTTTTTATAATTATTTTGTACCGTTCTCTGAGGTCCACTTATAATGTTATCATTGTTATCATAATGTCAATGTTATCATTATGTTTTTACATCAAAAATAAAAATAAGCTTCATTAAAAATAAAGTTCATCCACTCTTTCCTAATGTTGGGATCAGAAGGAAGGCAATGCAAAGAATGTGTTTTTCCACAACTTAGCAATGTGCAGCGTCTTGTCTTTGGAGCTGTCTTTATCATTTGGTTTCTCTCGTTATTTCCGGTGCGTTCCAAACGGGATATATGCACTTCGGAGTGAAAACAATCATGGCCGCCATTTTGAAGGGTCGTTCCAAACCGAAGTGCTCAAAACTGGCCACTTCAAAGGGCCCTTCGGAATGAAGGATTTCAAAGGGTACAACTAATGACGGCCCCTCCGTGTGGGCACGTGATATGAAGGGATTAGGGCATAGGGATGAGCCCTTCCGAATGGAACGTGGGGTTATGCCCGGTTCAGACTACACGATATTAGTCCAATTTTGCCACGATTTGCTTGACGTAGTGTGTCGTGGGGATTCGTAAACGACAACCGATTCCGCTTCTGCGATGCTTCACGACATCACGACAGAAAGCATGTTTAATTTTTTTTCCGTCGTCCACGACGAGTTCTGTCACATTGGTGACGTTGACCGATAGCAGCGCAGGAGCTCTTTCATGCACAGGTTTCAAACATGGCAAAACGAAAGAGAGATGATGGTGCTGCTAGGTGGAATTATAAGATGGAGGAAAGGTTCGTGGAGCTGTGGCAACAGTACTCCTGCCTGTACGATGTGTCATCGAGGGACTACCACGACAGAACAAAGAAAGAAAAATGCTGGCGAACTATAGCAGAAGCGCTTCAGCAATGTTTACACTCTTGTTTTCGGAAGTCAGTCGCTAGTTTCGCCTTCTCAATGACATCACGCACGTCGTTAAAGATGGCACGCAATGAATGGTCGGGAAGCAACATGTAGTCTATGTTTCTTGTCCACGACACGACAAGATTTTAGGAGTCAAAATCGTGTAATCTGACACAGTGACTATCGTGACCGACAAAAATATTGTGTAGACTGAATCCGGCATTACACTCCATGCGCGAATCGGTGGGTGGGTCTAATCAGGCAGTGATGTAGAAGCAGGCGTTGATCGACCTTCTTCTGCGGAGGCGGGGTTTAGCTACATTATTATACGTCATAAAGTGGCACATTCCACAAGCTGTCGTTTTGGCAGATTGACTTCAAAGCTGTTTTTAGACTAACAAGAAAGTTTTGAGTTCTGAAACTTACAGGACGTTTTTATAATACAATGACCTTTTATATGTCAAAAGGGAATTTTAATTTCCAGTTCATGACCCTTTTGATAGTCCAGAACTACCAGTACATTTCGTGGCAAAAATTGTTTCGCTGTTTTGATGTTGAGATTTGATTTATTAAAGGGTCTTGTTTTGAAATACTCTTAATATAACTCTATAAATATTAAAAGCCATATTGCACATTATTACGTAAATTAATGTATCTCTTTTACCTTCTCAATATATAGTTTAGCTGTTAGTTCCTTATGCTGGTAATGCAGTAGTTCGTAATCCTGGACCTGGGGACCCCAGGTCTGCACATTTTGCACACCTGATTACGATCAGCTCTTTAGGAGAGACTCCAAACTAATAAAGTGTGTCAGATAAGGGAGACATACAAATGTGCAGAGATGAACCAGGATTAAGAACCACTGCTGTAATGTAAATTTTAACATTTCAAACAACACAGACACCAAGGTATTTATTTTCAATGTATTTATTATATAAAAAATTGCAAGTTGCAAATTTAACATCCTTTCAAACAAAACGTGATTAGAAGCAAAGCAGACTAAATTCCTTCTCCTTTCCATCAAAACCGGAAAGGCTAAACCATGAATGGATGCAGTATCAGGCTACATTCCAGGCTGAAGAGCAATACACCTTAAAGTAGCTTGCTGAAAAACAAAACATATAGTACTCAGTCAGAATGAACATGTAAGTGTTTTATGTACCTGAATGGACCCAAAGTATTTTTTGCGGTGGAATCATTTCAAATCAGGTACATTAGAGTAAAACTATTAGTAGGTTATAGAAATGGAACATAAATTAATAAATCTCTACATAAATGAACAAACAAACTTTAATTTCAAACATCAAACAGAACCAACAGAAAGTTACATTTTACAAAACCTATATAGTAATCTAATTCAAAATCACTCAAAACATTGAAACTCATCTTTAGATTCACATGTGGTTATAATTATTGTTAAGTCACACATGTATCAAAATGATTTTCAAGCCTCATCTGGCACGACATGAAGTCTAAAGATTCTTGAGGGGTCACAAAGATACCAATTACAGATCAGACCCTGCAGCATTTCGGAAGGACAAATATAACAGCGTGGGAAGTGTAATTCCACAAAATGACTAGACAACTCTTCTGTGAAATGTACATAGGTCAAAAACAAAAACGAGAGGTTGGTGTCCTTTTGAACTCTTTTTCGTTTCGAAATGTTATTGGTTTTAATAATAATAATAAATAAAAAAATACAATGGACGTTATCTAAATGATTCAATTACGGTTAACACCGTTAACCAAAGAATTTAAATTCTGTCTTCATTTACTCACTCTCATGTTGTCTCAAACCTGTATGACTTTCTTCTATTACACACACACACACACACAAAATAAACTAAAATAATAATAATAAACAAAATATTATATTAAATGTAAAAGTAAATGTGATCTAAACAACTTTCATTCTTTCATACAGGTTGTCTAGATGTCTGAAATGGCATTAGGATGAGTAAATGATGACAATCTTTATTTTTGGTTCAACTATAAAACAACTATTAAATCTTGACCATGTTTCATTCATTTGTCTATGACAGATGCGTTACTTTGTCAAGCAAAATGAAACAGCAAAGGTTCAGGTTAATATGTAATCCCAGCATTTGCGTGAATATCGATACCTAACATCTGGCAAGTCACCTTTTTGTGCATTTGCCTCAAAAGCTGACTGCATGGGCATGCAAAGCGCAGAGTATGTCAAGAGCAAGGTAACTTAAAAGTGATTCACATAATGCAAGCATTTTCATTACTTTTACCAGTAATGGCTAACATTAAAGCAGATGGTAGTCATACACAGTTACAGGCTAACATATTATGTTAGAATATATATCAGGGCAATTTAACTATGTCTACTGGAGTTTTTGAGCATTAAGGACCATGCAGTGTATGCACATTACAGGTCAGTCCCATCATATGGGGTTATATATAAAACATGCACAAGTCAAATGAGGTCACCATAACTTGTGCATTACTTCTGTAACCCACATAAAAGATGATGCTATAAGGAAAAGGCTATTTTATTGCCACAACTTGCACAGACTAAAGGTATCATGTGCATTGCTCTGCATCAACAAACATTGTTATTCGGTTGCAAGTATTTTGAGATGGTCCTCACTGAAGAACACAAGATCCAGGGGGCGTGGTTGGATCCAGATCCAACTCCTCCCACCTTACATATACCTAAACCTACCCATCTCCACCCCCTGATCCCTAAACCCACCCATCTCCACCCCTAAACCTACCAATCTCCACCCCCTAGATGTGGATCCAACCACGCCCCCTGGATCTTGTGTTCTGCAGTGAGGGGCTACTGAGTATTTTGGTTAATAGACATTGAATAGGTGAACAATCTCATTTAAAAAAAGATCAAACAGATATTAACTGAGGTATCAAATATACAGTTTGATTGAATCTCGGATGGATATGATAACTTTGTATCAATGCAAACATTCAGTTTCTTAAACACTTTGTAGTGCACATGTTAAATTGCTTTAGTGCACTTTTCACTAAACCAAAATGAGAATTCCTTTTTGAGGAATTCCAGGGAGACCTTTTTACTTATTATTTTATTTTACCACTTATAGTCAAGTGCAGTAGTTGTGATTAACTTTATAATAAAATGTCAGTTGTTTTGGTTCTCCCAAACAATAAATACAATCATTAATGGCACCACAATACACAATGCATGTGATGCAGACTGCGGATAACAGCTGGTGAAAATGTTAACGTAAATGCTACTGAAAATGAACAGAAAACAAAAGTGATCTGAATTATATTTCCACTGTAACATGGGCAAATCATAAAAACACATTTTTTTTTTAAAAGAACAAAATATAATAATCTCAAACATTTGAATACTTCTTAAGAATTCTATGCACTAAGCATAGTTAAAGTTCACAAACATTTATATTGGCTTACCGGCAATTTGTTTTAGCCTGTGCAAAAAAACTAGACCTTTTTACTTATTTTTATTTTATTTTACCACTTATAGTCAAGTGCAGTAGTTGTGATTAACTTTATAATAAAATGTCAGTTGTTTTGGTTCTCCCAAACAATAAATACAATCATTAATGGCACCACAATACACAATGCATGTGATGCAGACTGCGGATAACAGCTGGTGAAAATGTTAACGTAAATGCTACTGAAAATGAACAGAAAACAAAAGTGATCTGAATTATATTTCCACTGTAACATGGGCAAATCATAAAAACACATTTTTTTTTTTAAAAGAACAAAATATAATAATCTCAAACATTTGAATACTTCTTAAGAATTCTATGCACTAAGCATAGTTAAAGTTCACAAACATTTATATTGGCTTACCGGCAATTTGTTTTAGCCTGTGCAAAAAAACAAATTGTAGTAAACTGCAATAAAAATAAAAAATTACAACAAATGTTAACATAAGCTTTGATACTGGACTCATTCCTTACACATAGAACATCCATTCATGCCAACTGTCCTGGATAAAACTTCTGGACAAAAATTTAAAAGACAAGGAAAAAAAAAACAGAAGTACTGAAACACTGCCTTTTGCGCTCTCTAATTCCGTTCACTCAGAAAACCATCTAACCGTTTTTTTCCTGATCAACAATCACACTCCGTTAGCAAAATTAGCACTGGTTTCCTGACTTATGCTCTCTTTGACCTCTAGGGGCAGTGAATCAAAAAGGTGGTCCTCCACAATGAGGCCATTTCGGCGCAAGAGTCGGCACTGGCCAAGCTGTGCGGGCAGGCGATCCAGGCAGTTCCCCTTCAGCTCAAGATTAGTCAGCTGCAGCAACTGCCCGATTTTCTCTGGCAGCGACGAGATGCAATTGTGCCCAAGGGATAGGGTACGCAGCTTTGTGCATTTGAACAGCTGCTTAGGAACCACTTCCACCTTGTTTCCGGTGATGGCAAAGTGCTGTAGATTCTGGAGAAACCCCACCTCTGGAGGAATCACTACGATGGAGCTCTGACTAACATCCAGGTATCTAAGTTTAAGAAGACTGAACAGAGTGGTAGGCAATGTCTCTAGTTTGTTATGTGACAGATAGAGGAACTCTAGGTTTTTTACATGACTTATGGACAATGGAATGGAAATTATTTTATTGTGCCACAGTTTGAGGCAGTTAAGCCGCTTGAGGTGCTGGAAGCTGATGACCTCTTCAATGGTACGGATATTGTTCGATTTCAAGTCCAACTCCTGCAGGTTGTTCAAACTAAAAATTGCATGCGGTATCCTCTCCAGTTCACAATTGTGCAGCTCCAGTTCAGCAAGGTTCATCATCTTTTTCAAGCTATTTAACACTAAGAGTTTAGTACCATCATTGTGAACCACAAGTTTGATCAGGTGGGGTGATAAGTCTGTAATGTTAGTCGGGATCTTGGTAAGGTTGCTCTTCAGATGTAGGATCTTTAGATGCCTCAAGTCCCTGAGAGACTCTAATCCTATCATTTTGTTATTCTCGGAGTTCAGGTTTCCCACCAAGTAGAGCTCTCTCAAGTTCTTTAGCATGTAAACCCAAGTGGGAATCTCTCCTACATCCGTAAACTTGACATGAAGGCACCGGAGGTGATCGCGGAGGAAACTGAATGCAGTCTGTTCAACTTTGGCGGGGCAGTGGTAAAAGTGCAATTCATGGAGGTTGATCATCTGGGAAATTTTCGCTGTGATACGTGCCTCTGGGATGAGTTCGAGTTTTAGGACCTCTAAATCAGTGAGGTCAAAGACCGCATCAGGAACACCTGAGAGCATAAAAAGATGCAGCTCAAGCTTGTCCTGTGCATTGCGAGTCACGTGTTGGCGTAGTTTTTCAAAGGTCCACTCGTGGTTTAAGCTGATTTCCCTCAGTTTGTTCTCGCTTACCTCTGAGAGAAAGACACCGAAACGTTTCGAGTACAATTGGTCATACTGGTCCACCATGTGTAGGAGGAAAGCAAAGTCATTCTTCACATCTGGGATATCACTAAAACTGCTTTCTTCTCGAACTTTCTCAAAAGAGTACTCTTTAAGAGGCCGTCTAAATAGCCAAAAAAGTGTGTAAATGCAAACCAAGCCATAAACAAAAATGAGGACAATGTAGCTAACGAGGAGTTTTTTCAACATGAAAGCCATGTTATGGGTGCATTTAAATTTTGCGTATCCAGTTAAATGCTTAATTTCAGGCTCACAATCATGGTCGAATTTAATGGACGTGACAAAGGTCATGGTGTAACACAGAATCAGAATGAATTTGACAGTTTTTATTATTGTTTGAGCTACATAGAGTTTATAGATCATGTCGCTGTCTTCTACATGTGTACGGAACTTCCTCACTTTCTCAAAAAGTGCTTTAGCTTGCTCTCCATCTTTCTTGTCAAGTATAGTCATACTTGGAACTTCAATGACTGGCTTCTCCGCAGAAAACTTAATGTTAGATTTTGCAAGCATGGGTGTGGACTGATTTGGACTTCCCTCCTCACTGCTGGTTGAAAGATGCTTTGGTAATGTAGAGGCTCCAGTCAATCTCTGCTTATTCTCTTCGGAGTCTTCACAGGCTGTCTCAGACAATGCCTTGGTTGTCCAAGGGGACTCAAAACACTTACCCAAAATAGACACAAAATGCTCAATTTTGGAACTGGTCTTTGGATACTTGAACCAAAAGTTACTGCTTACCATGAGAACAATAGTGTGAATGAGAGCTAGATATGGAAAGTATTTTGAATACCATGGAAGGGCAACATGGTAGCACATCTGATTAACAAAGACATACTGCTGAAAATCCAGATTTGTTCGTAAACCCGTAGGCTGAGGTTGCCTGACAGCAGACGACTGTGGGAAGTGTTGGACAACACTGTCGGTTTGTTCTTTGCTTGCTAAAGGTGCAGCTGCCAATGTCACATGGCCTCCTCCTGTCCCTGAGCCAAGAGCTTTCTCTGGTGGCCTTTCCATGGCCACAGGGGTTTGGTCCTCCACCGATTCCAGAACAGGAAGGCAAACCACCTGATCTTTGGTTAACTGCATGGTCCCGGCAAATATGGCCAGCATAAGCATGACTGCGCCCAGGTAATCCATAAAGACGTCCCACCATGGTTTCAGTATACGATAAGTTGGTTGGATGTCATTTAGAGAGGCAACTTCTGTGAGGGTAAACATTCCTACATGAAGACATAAAAAACAAAAACATGTATTTAGTATTATCAATGACAAATAAGAGTGTTCGAGAAAAGGGGGGAAAAACATTTAAAATACATGTAACAACTTCTTATATATGTACTCTGTATTAATGTTGATTTCACATGGCTTTGAAAAACTAATATTTTTCAATTAAATATTGGGATACGGGTCCAAAATCGCATAAAAAATGTTTATGCTTCATTTACATAGCCTTCCTTATATGGTATCAGCCCATCTATGGGTTCATTCGAAAGCTTAGTCTCTTCTTTACAAAGAATTCCTTTTAGTTTTATGATACATAAAGCAGTAAAATTAAGCTTAGAAATGTATTCGTCCCACACACGAATTTCTGCCTAACGATTGGAAAAAAATTTTTTTCCAGAGAATGTGTATTTTATATATTTTTCACATAACAGTCAAGTCATATATCACAAGAAAGCTCTCATTCTCAGGAATTTGACTACCTCTGAGCAAACTTTCGTATGGGTCACATTCCTACTCGTACTACTGCTTCAGTCAGCCGCAAACTCTATATTATAAAATATACATTTGAATTTGAGTATGTCAAATTTAGGCGAAAATACCAAAAAACACCCCAGAGCTTAAGGGGTTAATAAGTGTTATCATGAAGTGTACACATGTGGAAAACAACAACAACATTATATTTTCCAAAGGTAAAAATATATATATCTTTTCTTTTTTTTTTTTTGGAAAGTCACACCACATGACATTTTACAACCTCAATTAACCTTGCCTTGTCAAAGAGGTCAAATTAACATCTATTAAAATCTTATATCTATACCTTAATATAATAAAATGCATAATGCTATACAATGACTTGAATATACAACAAATGTAAAAGTAAAATTTTTGCTCATTCTTTAAGCTAATAAACACATCAAGTGCCTCAATATTACACTCACTGCTATGTGAAATACAGGCTTGACATAACATAAATCTCATTCTCATATTCCATTAAATCAATGTACAAATGCAAGGAATGGTCTAATACACCACTAAAGATAACAAATGGTCCCATCGCTTGGGGAGACATCCTAGTGTCTCTGTCCTATATCAATTTTCACAGCACAAAGCTTGATCACTGCTCAGGCACTAAAGCATTGCATTAGACTTTCTTATTAGATTATCAGCCTTAGTAGGCATACTGTACTGCATGAAGACAAAAGTACTGCAGTGGTGAGCCTGGCCAAAGACAATGTTGTCTTTCATATCAAGTTGCAAGTCTCTGCAGTCTGCACTAATATTCAGGCATGTTGCAGGGGTTCTATTGATGTGAGAAGCTAAATTTTCACATTGCTAAGACTTACCCATAAATCCAATAGGCCAAATTGAATGACCTTCTCACTGTCAAGAAACAATTGACTCAAAGGCATAATAATTAATTATTTTGTATTTTACTTGGCTAATAAAGCTGTTATTTATATAAATCATAAATGTTTTAAGTAACATGAATTCATTGTTGGATAACGGAGTTATTCTCTTTAAAGCAATGTGTTATCAGATTACATGTACTATATATATACATACATACATACATACATACATACACACACATACATACATACATACCATAATTTGTACATGAGGCCTTTCACACATAATTTACTGCCTCTAGGATCTACTAATAAAACAAAGTCTAGACTTGCTTCACAAGACAATCACATTCCATCCAAGTCACAAGCACTTTGTTCTTGTGCTTCGCCTGTCCTACAGATCTTTCGTTCAAATCTTAAGCCTTTGATGTTAACATGCCAACTGTAAGGAAGGTGTAAGAATATGAGAAGCATACAGAAAATTAAGTAAAAAATACATACAATTTTGTATTTCAGTCAATAAATGTAAAAAAATAGTGTGTGTCAGATGAACATCTGTAAAGTGGTGCAATCCAGTTCAAGATTGGCATTAGTTACAGTAGTAGCTGTATATGCAGAATTCCTTCCTCTGCATTAATTAGTCTCTAATTTAGTGCAATTACACAATAGCTTATTTAGCCAAGTCAGACTGCCATAAACAACAATTACTACTTTTTTAGTGTGTTGCCATGGGGTTAGAAAAGCACTCGTGATTTCTCAAAAGGCACATAATTATGTACAGATGCATATTACATGACAGCACATAGATAGACAGTGCATTAAAATCAAAAACCTAGATCCTGGCTGGATATTCCAACAGGGTGGTCTATTTTGGTAGATCTGTCATTTTACAAGTACATCTGGAGAGCTCATCACTTCTTTGATGATACTTCACTGTGAAAAAAGAAAAATCAGTCCTTTAAAGTAAAAACTAATACCAGCCTATCAAATAAAGTGGAAATTGAGCACACAACCACCAGCAAGACTGTGAATAATATTAAGTCACCTAATAAATTTAATGTTTAGGACTCAACAAGACATCAGAGAATGTCTGAGAATTGCTTTTCCCACTGCCTACCCAAAATAATTTGGTAGACATCAGTTCCCAAGATCTACAGCTAGAAGGTTACACACACTAACCCTATGAGCGGAGATGTTAAGCAGGCTAGTTTGCAAATGTTTTGAAGAGTCTACAACATAAATAAAAGCAATAAATAAATAAAGTATATGATGTGATAGGATATGACATAATGCAGATTCTCATGTACCCTTGCATTTATAGCATTCACCGACAGGAAACGCTTATACAAACAACTCCTGGTAATTACATTATCACTGGTATAGACCCAACAAGCCTTTATCCATTTCCTCAACTACTCTCATCATTCAACAGGCTCCACACACCAGTGCACTTTACATACATCTGATGAACTGACATCACTCAGTAAGCGAGTATCAATTGTTTTAACACTTTCTGAATTTAGCAACAGCCCCACTAAATAATACTGACAGGTCTGCCACATGTCTCAATTCTTTATACTTTTTATATGCTATACGTTTATGTAGCATTCTATGTGTTATGTTTTTTTAACATATAATTTGCCTTTGATTTTTTTGTTTTATCATTTCTAGACAGGTGTAGAAAGAGGTGTGAGGTGTTAATTACTATAAAACTAAAACTAAAATTCTTAAAGGAGTCCTATTATGCTTTTTCACTTTTTCAACTTTAGTTAGTCTGTAATGTTGCTGTTTGAGCATAAAAAAGATCTGCAAAGTTACAAAGTTCAAAGTCCAATTCAAAAGGAGATTCAAAAACTTAAGCACAAATCAGTAGAATGTGGACACATGGTGTATTTGACCTCATATAGTGTACTGATTTATTATAGGCCTTTTATTATATAAATCAACAGCAAAGACTTATGCAATCTTTTCAAAAACTACAACGAACGACTCGTTTGGACTACAACGTATATTTTCCGGGATTTGTGATATCACAAATACCGACGAATGGAACGAGACCTGGTTGAGCTGCTCTAGAGAAGGCAATGAGTGTTATCACTGTGTCAGAGACACGCTAGCTTTCCAAAGGCAGACGAATTTAGAGTGGTTACAATCAGCCGGGTTTAAATCACGTTCAAATTTATTTGATTTTGACGCAATATTTACACTGAAGCTCGCAGCAGGCGGCTATTATAAGGGGCATGACATTTCCCGACTAGGCGCCGAGTGCTGCCAATCACAACACACACTGGCCCAGCTAACCAATCACAGCACATTTCGTATTTCAGAAGGCGGGCCTTCATTTGATACAGGAACTATTCGAGCCATTCATGCCAGACTGAGGAGAGAGGTGTTGTAATAATGTCAAATATGTGAAAAATAATGTGCTTTTCGAACAACTTAGTATGAGAGCCTGTTCTAGCACACCCCCAAAACAAAATCAAGACTTTGTAAAAGAGCATAATAGGACCCCTTTAAGTTGACTTTGGAAAGACTCTGTTGCACTTAAAACAACATTGCTTTGGTTGCATTGTTTTAGCAGCCTGATATGTCAAAAACCACTGTCCTGAATTCTGGATAAGACAACATGTTTGTCCAAATAACGGCATGTTGGAGTGTCTAGAAAAGCTGTTTGGAAAGGATTTGCCATTTTATCTAAAGCTGCTAATTACACACACACAAAAAAGATAAACTTGAGGTAAACAAATGTTTTTGTCTGAAATCAAAATAATTGCCGTTTACTAAAACAAAAAAATGGCAAAACAATTTAATTTGCTTATCTGGAAATAGGTTGTCTTCATTTTTTATTGAAAATATCACTTTGAGAGAATAGCTGGGATTCTGACTAATAAATCAGAGCTGCAAAATTAATTCTGGCCTTTCACTCATTTTTTACCGGTCTATGGTCTCAGTTTTTAACCTCACCTGCGTAACACAACCTTAACCCACAAAAAACACAATTACCATCACAGCTAGCCTTATTTAACCTCAGTCTGGGCTTTTACCCCCATAACTAGGTCATGGCTGCATCTGTTATCCTCATTTGCTGTGTCTCAAGCAGACATTTTTAATGACAATGCTGTTAACCAATCACGTCTCTTCATGTTATCCTGCACATTTCAGTGTTGGGGCAACCATTTGTGTACCATATGTACAGGTTGCTGTAGGTCAGTGAGTTAAAATAAAGTATTATTGTAATAGTTTATGAACATGTATGTATATGTGTAGGGGGGGGGGGACGGATTAAAGGCTGAAACTGAAACTGAACAATATCTGCCAAGTCAAGCGTAAGAAATCAAAATCAGGAAATCAAGAATAATATTAAGGTCTCAAATGACAGCAAAATAAACTGGTAAATCTAAACCTAAATTCACACTTTTTGAAATTAACACTTTACATTAACTTGACTGCAGGGGTTGTGTCAACAACAACTGTAGTCCTGCTGGATAAAACTTTGGTCATGGGCTATGGTGTACAATATTATGACACAAATTATGTAATATGCATTACCTAAAACTAGATAAATCAGTAACTTCTTACAAGAGACCTGAAATTCTTATCACTTGTTATATATTAGCCTGTGCACCTGTTTGAACAGTCAATATAGTTTGTGCAGTCTCCTTCAAAAAGTGCCCAAAGCATCTTTCTTTGACTGCACTGAACTACTCTGACAGTCTTCATAAACAAAACCTCAAAACAAGATACTCGACTATTTGTAATATTTCAGAAATGAATGCATAACATAACGTATATACTCACTGTCGCGTATAAACGTCATCCATGTAGCACTTTAATTCCTGAGAATCTGAAACACATTTTATCCACTTGTCCTTGCAGTAATGGGGACACAGTTGTAGACAAGTATGCTGTCCACTCGCGTGGGAGACGTCGTTTTGAGCACATTCACGCCATTGTGTTTCTATACCGGGTCACGCTATATATATACCCCAATGGTTTGCTTCCCAATAACGCGTAAACCGCGAGCAGAACGCGATTCACAGGAACGGACTGGAATATTGCCTATAAACCCAATCCGGTGGCTTGTCTTCGCGGTTCTGTGCAGATTAACGCCGCTCGGGCAGGAAACCGTTTCGGTCTGATGACACTGTTGTGTTAAAGCGGTAAAAGTGTCGGTACAAAAGGACAACTTACTAATAATTTGCCCGAGAGGGCTTTATGCACATGTAAGGGTCCCCGCTCATCTCATTATTATGGTACATTCAGAGCTGCGCGCACAGCAGCAGAGTCAACCAGTCTGCACCAGTTCTCTACACTGCATATCCGCCACCTTTAAACCCGCACAAACACACATTTACAGGCTGATACATACCTCAAAACAAAGCTGTCATTTTAAAACCGTCAACGCTTCCACGATATCCACGCGTATGAAATGTTGAATGAGAAATGTCTCTAATAAACAGAAATGTACTGTCAAATAGAGGAAGTGCATGTGGGCGGAGCTAAAGTTTACGGGAGGATTTACGCGCGAAACACCTGACCGGTGTCTTGAAATCACTAAGCAACCAAACCCCGTTTGTTACACAAGAATTGTTACACGTTTGAAGGCGCCTTCCACGAACAGGGTACAAAATTGGTATTTTATGTACAATTTCATAAGCTTTTATTTGCATTTTCTGTAGTATTCTATAGATTACAAATAAAGTAGACACTTTATAAAATGTAAAAATAAATCAAAAAGTATGCTAAAATGGGTAACACAGGTGCAAATTCAGCCGAAATTAAACTGTCACACAGAAGGGGTTTGCTACAAATATTGGTTTGTAATTACTGCTGATTATTTTTTAAATCTATTTATTATATGTATTTTTGTCAATTATTTTGTATAGTGCTTGTGTAACGGCTGAATGGTTGAGACCGATGAATGCAGTCAGTACTAAAACAGAAGAAATGAACATAAAATTAGCATCAGTGATTATCTTACAGATTAAGCATGCAGTTCTAAAATAAAGTTGGCTGAACTCTATACCCATGAACTCGATACCTATTTATGGTAAACCAGCTAAATGTTAAACTCTGTACTTATTGAGTTTGTCACCTTAAATGCATAAAGGCAAGTCATATTTAAAATATACAATTACTGTTATTAAAGTCAAAACAACAAGCAAATACAAAGCAGAGTTATTACTAGACACCATCAAATAATATGGGGCAAAACTCACCTTATAGTTTTCACCGTAAATGCATCCCTTTGCAAGCTTTCTGACTTGTTTATTTGTAAATGAAATCCTGTATGTTTTACAAGCGAAACATGGTTGCAAATAAGATTAAACAGACTTTGCCTTCCCCACCCCACCCCACCCCACTCCACTCCACTCCACTCCACTCCACTCCACCCCACTCCACCCCACTGGACAACCAGGTCCTGTGGGTTTGCCTGTATTTAACTGCCACATGAACGATTTGGTGTGGGTCATTGGTCTGGTTATTTTATGTGACTAGCCACCTGCACACAGAGGGAGACAAAGGACAGATAACAGAAAACCACACAGAAAAGTCTCAGAGTTTGATTTAAACCAGGGGTGTCAAACTCAATTCCTAAAGGGCCGGAGCCCTGCAGAGTGTTGTTCCAACCCTGCTCCAACACACAGATCACATAGTTTTCAAATAAGCCTAAAGGACTTGATTAGTTGGATCAGGTGTGTGTTTAATTAGGGTTGAATCTAAACTCTGCAGGGCTCCGGCCCTCCAGGAATTGAGTTTGACACCCCTGATTTAAACAAAGGATGACAAGATGAATCCCTCATTCCAATTCGTGCCGCAGGCAAATTCTGGGTGCATGAGGACATTTCTTGGCACTCAAGCTCTTCGGCTATAATAGGCCGATCTAAAGAAAATACTGTAAAAGACTAGCTTAGCTTTAGCTTTGGTGATGCTGTCTTTAAAATTACAATTTAAAACTGTTTCTATCGATTATATGAGAAAGGCTGTGGAACAGCGGTAAAGATTACTTATAGATTTGGAATCTATACTGATTTATTTTGCAGTCAAATATAAGGTTTTCTCTAGTGTTCATTTTGTTAACGAAGACTATGACGAAAAATGTTCGTTGAGGAGCTTTTTTCCCCATGACTTAAGCCAAGACGAGACGACAATAAGGTCAATAAACGATAACTAAGACTATATCAACATGCAATTTCGTTGACGAAATAAGACGAGACTAAAATGCATCTGAAAAACAAACAAGCTGGAGTTTAGCGATCTAAATGAAAGCGTCATTCAGCCGGTCAGTGTTCTGTCATGAGATCTCATCTCACTATATTGTAAGCGATTGTGATCGCTGAATAAATACACTTACTCAATCGCTCTTGTTTTAATAGAGAAATAGACTATTGCAATTATGGAATTAGTGGAATTACTTTCACTGTTGTAATATTTTTCTTTTGTTTTAGCTGTTTTCATAATGTAGACAGAGAGATTGCATAAGTCTTTGCTGTTGATTTATATAATAAAAAGCCTATAATAAATCAGTACACTAGATGAGGTCAAATACACCATGTGTCCACATTCTATTGATTTGTGCTTAAGAAAGTGCAATACCTGAAATGCAAAAGTAAAGTTCTCAAATGACAACAATCATTACGATTATAATTTTGAGAAAATATTTTTTTTTTATCAGTTTAATTATTATGAATGCCGAAAATGTGACTAATATTTAATTGACTAAAAAACCTGACTAAAATGCCCATACATTTCATTGAATAAACAAAAACGGGACAAGTTTGTCTAAATATGATAACTAAAATGTACATTTGAGTAAGACTAAGACTAAATTAAAAATGGCTGCCAAAATGATTACTGCTGTACGGTTAAAGGGGTCATATGATGTTGCTAAAAAGAACATTATTTTGTGTATTTGGTGTAATGAAATGTGTTTATGCGGTTTAAAGTAAAAAAAAACATTTTCCACATACTGTACATTATTGTTTCTCCTCTATGCCCCGCCTTTTTGAAACGCATCGATTTTTACAAAGCTCATCGGTCTGAAAAAGCGAGGTGTGCTGTGATTGGCCAGCTATCCAGTGCTTTGTGATTGGCCGAATACCTCAAGCGTGAGACGGAAATGTTACGCCCCTCACCATACTGTGATGCCATGTCCCGGCCGGAGTAACGAGACAAAAACATTAAAACCCATTACAAACGAGGCATTTGTTGCATCCAGTGGGGACATAATTACTGATTATAATGACTTATACTGTCTTTTTACGCATTGCGTTGCATTGCATCGCGCCGCGTCGCGTAAACATAAAACTCTGTCTGCATTTGTGATCAGAGAAATGACAAACAATAGGGTGACCATACGTGTCATTTTCCCAGGACTGATCCTGGCCAGGATTTCTATATTGCCTAAAATATCTAGGTTTTGGCTTTGTTTGAGTGTGCAGACCGATTGGTCTATGACATCAAAATACCTCGAGAGCATTTTGAAAGCATAAGGAACCGTCTGTATGGTATTTTGATGTCATACACCTAGTCTGCACATGCAAACAAAGCCAAAACCTAGATATTTTAGCGTGCACTGAGGCCGGGCTAGAGTGAGCTGAGGCCGGGCTAGCGTGAGCAGAAGCCCCGGCTTAGCGTGAGCTGAGGCAGCGGGGTCGAGAACGGCGCGCCCGGCGGATCTGACGAATGAGCGGCAACCACATGTGACGACCCCGAAAGTTGATGTATTCCCTCAGCGACCAGCACAGATCCACTCTAGGCATGGCGAAGCGGATATCGTCCTCTTTTTGAAGACCAAACAAAGTAGTTTCGCTTTCACAACGAAGCACACAGTGTCTTCAGGACATGGCTGCAGCGTCAACAATACTACAGTGAGAATAAAAGTTATGCCTTCTTTCTTTGTGTGAACATTTGGGCGGCGTTATGCAAATCTTCCCACATAGTGAGGTAGATATGTGGGGGCGTGTTAGAGCGAGCCGTTTTACGTAGGTGTGGCTGACTCTGAACTTTTATAAAGAATCTCTTTGGATTTGAGACTTTAGTCTTTGCAACTTTACAGATCTTCTATATGCACCAAGAGCTTGTAACACTCCAAAGAGAAAGGAAAAATTGAAATCGCATCGTATGACCCCTTTAATTAATAATAATCTTATTGGTAAAAAAGTTTTCATTGACTAAAAGTAGACTAAAATATTTCAGGTTTTCTTCGACTAAAACACTTTAGATTTTCTTGGACTAAAACTAGACTAAAATGTTGAGGCTTTTAGTCGACTAAAACTTAACAAAAACCAAATAGGTTTAAGGTTGACTAAATATGCTAAAAACTAGCAAGGACATTTTAGCCCGGGACTAAGACTAAAATGAAAATAGCTGACAAAATTAACACTAGTTTTCTCTAATCACGACCTTGAAAGTGTCTTTTTGCCTCTATCCACAGCTCCACTTTGACAGCTGCTGCACCTTGCCTTTTCATGGTTGAACGGAGAGCAGTCTTCTCCTCAGAGTAAATTTTCAAGATTACGTTGTCCAGGGTCATCAGCTTGTCAGGTTTAAAAAGGCCTGAGGTCTGGTGCACAACTTCTTGACTTATTCTTAATGCATCACAAATCACATACCTGCAAAAACTCTTCACAGACAACAGATTAATGAACTTACTCATGCCATCCAGTAGCAACATGCTCTATTTTGCATTAAACATTTGTTAATATAAATATTAATAGTTAAAGGAATAGTTCACCCAAAAATGAAAATTCTGTCACTAATTACTCACCCTCATGTCGTTCCAAACCTGTAAGACCTTTGTTTATCTTCGGAACACAAATTAAGATATTTTTGATGAAATCCAAGAGATTTCTGACCCAGACAGCAATGCAACTGACACGTTCAAGGCCCAGAAAGATAGTAAGGACATCGTTAAAAGTGGTTCAACTGTAATTTTATGAAGCTACGAGAATACTTTTTGTGTGCAAAGAAAACACAAATAATGACTTTATTCAACAATTGAATTGTTATCAGTTGTCTTCGCCACGCATTCACAAGAGTACCACAATGCATGCGTGTGGTGCTGCTGACGCAGGAGCCGGTATTTTGACATAGAAACCGGATGCGCTTCGCCTTGTTTACAAGCAGAAGATGATGCATGCTGTACATAAAGCAGTCTTCATAAACATGTCTGAAGATTTTGACAAAGAGGATGACTTGCAATTTTTTTGCCCAGCATAACTTATTTGTACCAGAATATACAGAATGCCAGCTCCTGCATCAGCACCACCACACAAATGCGTTGTGG